TCCCAAGAGGCCAAAGAGAAACATGACTGACTCAGCAGAATCCCAAGAGGCCAAAGAGAAACATGACTGACTCAGCAGAATCCCAAGAGGCCAAACAGAAACATGACTGGCTCAGCAGAATCCAAACTGGCCAAATCGAGCCTTGGCAGTAGCTACATTTAAGACATAATGCGCTTTAGCAGTGCATCGGTTCTCCTTGGCTCAGTGGGCCAGGGACGTGTGGCCTCATCTTCCACCCTCCACACACTTGCCCTGGGCTGTTGCCTTCACTTACCTAGCTGACTAATGCTCATGTTTTACTTCCGCCTTTGCACTGCAAGGCAAATCCTGCCCCACTCCAGGTGCAAAGCAGAGAACAGTCAGGTTGATATAAATGAGCTGGAGGGAGCCCTCGTGCCAAACATAAAGATGAAAGTAAATACGTTCCTGCTAAAACTGAGGACTGTGGGGCATCGTTGTCCCACAGGGTTGAAGTGCTCCACCAAGCAGCTGGAGGTCACAGGGTGACTCAGAGCAGGAAGCATATAAATGGGTAGTTATACGCTGCCACACACTTAAAATGAGTATTTGCCTCAGGGATGCATTAAATACTTGCTATTAACTGGATTGTAGAAATAGTGACACACTATTTATGTGCAGCATAGATTCACAATACAAACAATGTGTATGACCACTGTAGCTTTCAAGTGTCTTGCTGATGACCTTAGTAAGTCACAGGGTGGAAGGTCCTTCTACCATATCATTAATAGTTATAGTATGAAAATGCTTTATTTTTTTCTGTTTTTGACATCTCTGCAACTTTTAATGTATGTGAATTTAACCCATCAGAGATTCTGAGTTTTACCATGCCAGCACACACTTGTTACTTGTTAAAATTGTATTTAGTAAATAATATGACAAATAATATGTATAATAGCTGATTTCTGTCAGGTAGTCTTAGTATCCCAGGTTTTATTTTAAATGCTTTATGTGAATTGACTCATCTAATTGTGTCATCCCTAAGAGGCAGTAAAGTACTATTTTTATTTCCTCTTTGGAGATGAGAAGATGAAGGGAAGAAAGGTTCTGTGCTGGCCCCAAAGCCCAACAGCTCCTGAGCAGCACAGCCTGGGCACCATTCCCTGCTCCTGTGCTGCAGAGGGTCTGTGCTCCAAGGCACCAGCCTCTACTCGCTCACTTGTGTCAGCTATTGGTGAAATGTGTCATCCTCCAGAAACCCACAGGATAGGTGATGCCGTTAGTGCCCTCACTTGGCAAGGGTCTGGTGCAGTCAGGTATCTCCACGGGGCAAGCCCCGGGCTCGGGGCTCGTTCTTTCTTTGATTTTGTACATGAGATCATCAGTACTGCCCACTACTCAAGACACTGCTACACTTATGTTTGAAATAACCTTTATTATTAGAGGCTAAATAGATTTTAAAGGAAGGGAAAATGACTCAGACTCTAGTAATTATTCAGTTGTAATCTAAAATGCTTAAATACTGAAGCTAATTATTAGATTTCACTGAAATATTTGAACCACCATTAAGCCAATATTAAATGTCATTCTAAAGAACTCTTAAAGGATTATTATTAAATTTAATATAATAATTCATCTCACTGGTTTTGTCATTAATCACTAAAACCTCTAAGGATTTGTGAATGCTAAAAAAAATTAACTTATTTTGTCTCTTCCAAATATAAAATGAATAGTTCTTATTAGATACTACATATAAAATATCACGAAATTTTAAAGTCCAACAATGTTACAAAAATGAAATTGCTACATCAATATAGATTTATCATTTACATTATTTTGCTAGTTGAGTGGGCTTATTGTTTATATCTGGAACATTAAAGGTGTTAGTGTGCTAACAAAGCTATAATAATCCAGTAAATTAAAATGTTTATACAATGGTGTAAGTGGCTGTTGCTACTGCTGTTTATAAAACCACTCTTACTCCAATCTAGGTTATACCTGAGTTCATATTTGGTGGGTTTCTAATTCTTTTGTGAAATCATTACTGCAGAATTTCTGACGTGTGCAGTTCTAGTTTTTAATTGAACGCTGGCCCCAAAACCTCCAACCACTCAGAAGTGGGGGTTCTGAGAGCCGACTAGCTTATGGGGGCACACGGCTATGTGTGACATCAGGAGGTGGGGCAGGACTGGGGCCAGGGTGACATGGAAGGGGCGCCCTGCACGCGCAGACCTTCCCCTGGCTTCCTTCTTCCTCTCTGCTTCCTTTATGTCCCGACCTGAGCAGCTGTCTCCATTGGCGGCTCTGCTACTGTGTGCTTCTGCTCAGCCATCCAGAGACTGAAACCTCTGCAAACCAGGAGCCGAAAGAACGCCTGCTCTAGCCATCAAGGATGGCATCGCAGCAGCCAGGAAGCCACCAAGACCCTGACTGTCAGAGGAAGACGCACCGTAGGTGAGCTGCGGCACTGATGTCATCAGTCCAATAGTTGGCCACTCCTGTCTTAGGAGTCACTTGTGGTTCTCTTACCTTTAGGCCCTTTGAATAGTTTGATTTCCACAACTGTCTCCAGAATGGGTCGTCTTCTACGCACATAGAGCCGAACGATAGACCCCGCTTCTTTGAGGGCCTCCACCGCCTTACTGTGGGAAACCTCCGACACATCGACCTCATTCACCCGCAAGATGCAATCGTTGACCCTGAGAAGGGAGAGGGATAGCATTCAAGAGTGTCCAGGAACAGTTCTTAAAGAATGTTTTTATGATGATCTTAAGATGTGGGAAAGTAAAGAGCATAAGAAACCCTAAAAAGGCAAAAATTGGAAGAATAGTAAAATTGAGAAACAGAAAAGCATCCAAGAAAACCTTAAACTCCCTTGTCACACTGCTCCCCCTATTGGTCCTTTCCCAGGTGGAACTCTAGGTCACTCTGGCTGGGACAGCATCACCCATGGCAGAAATAGAAGTTCACATAATTCAAGGTGTTCATCAGTTACACCATTATCTTGATGGGTTTTAAGTGGTTTGACTCAAGGATACAATTGGAGCGTATCCCAGAACTCATTACTGAGTACTATACAGGCAACAAATGCAACTGTAGAGGTTGAGGCTTTCCAAATAATTAAATGTTACCAAAGTAGTATGTGGTCATTTTAAAAAATATGAAAAATATAAAAAATTTATAAAAATATAAATTTTCTTTTTTTCATATAAAAAAGAAAAAATATGTAGAAATGAATCATCAAAAATTAACTGTTAACTTTTTGGAAAAATATATTCAAATATATTCCCCTCAAATTCACTCCATAACATTATAGGTATTCAAGTCAAATTTATCAGAGTTTGAAGAGTCATTCATCTAATCCTCCTCGAAGTACTTAATGAGTGAGTTCTGTACTAAATTTCCTTCTTTATTTCCTTCACTTTTTGCGTGGGAAGGGAAGGTGTGACTTTTCCTTAAACCTTTCCAGGTGGGCCACAGAGATGGGCCATGGATTGAAGATGTCTTATTTTCATGATATTAATTAGCATAAATATTAATAACAGACAAGAGCATGAAGCTTGCGCTTAGCTGGATTTCCTCACTCGGCTTATTCATTCTGGCACTCCTCACTCCAGGCCACCACGTCACTTAGAGTCAAAAGCGAGAGGCCACCCTTGCCTGGCTCTTTCTTACTGTCATTATAGCCTCACTGCTACCTGGTAGGCATGCATTTCTTCTACTTCATAGTTACTGAACTGCTGCAGCCATTTCCTTCCTTCCTTCCTTCCTTCCTTCCTTCCTTCCTTCCTTCCTTCCTTCCTTCCTTCCTTCCTTCCTTCCTTTTTTCTTTTTCCTTCCTTCCTTCCTTCCTTCCTTCCTTCCTTCCTTCCTTCCTTCCTTCTATGTATTTGGTACAGGGTCTCCCTATGTAGCTCAGACTCACAGTGATCCTGTTTTCAGCCTCCCCAGAGCTGGACTTGTAGGCATGCACCAGCATGCCTGGACTTGGAGGCCAACTCAGTGTGCCTGGGCGGGGCTGGCATGGCATGGTATGGGGGATCAAATGCTGATCCCTGTGCTTGCCTACTCAGGCTATTAGTTTGCTGAGATATCTCGCCAGCCCAAAGTCAGTATATTCCTTACATGAACTACATCCATAATGTTCAGTCTAGTGTCTTCTCTTGTCATCTTTTAATGTCTTCTCTCCACAATGTCCAGGTAAGATGAACAAGGATTTCCCCCAGCAACCACCTTCCACTTCTAGTCCTTCCTGCCAAACAGCAGCCAGTTTTCTCAGGTATACTGCTTGAGTACTACCGGATGAAAGGGAGTCTGCCTGTGCTCAGTTACTGGGTTCTCCGTGCCCTAAGCTTGGAATTATGCATTACACCATCAAGCTCTCTAAACCTCTCCACTGTCATCTTCAATTGTGGTGTGATCTCATATAAAGGCTTTGGAATAAGGTGATAAATGGTTCTTAGTGCTTACTGTACAATAGTCATTAACTGGTAATATGCCTTACTATTGATTTCCTTCTATAATTTTGTAAAGTAAAACTAACCTATAGTGACAGATGCCCACCTATGTTTATAACAGCACAATTTGTCATAGCTAAATCTTGGAAACAACCCAAATGCCTATCAACCAAGGAACAGATTAAAACAATGTGGCATTTTTATACAAGGGAGTACTACTTAGCTATAAAGCAAGAAAAACTCAAGGCTTTTATAGCTAGATAGGTGCAACTAGAGACCATACTTATAAGGGATATAAGTCACACTCACATGTGTAAACATCGTATTGTCTCCAGAGTGTAAGAAACTGGACAAGTAAATAAGATTCAAAAGGCACAATTTGGGGCTGAGGAGATGGCTCAGGAGA